GCACGTAGGCAGAAAGCCCATATATGCAAAGTAGATGCACATAGGCAGAAAGCCCACTGTCTGCATACCCCAACATGGGTTATGGGCCCAGTGTAAGCGTAGACAATGCCTGAGTAGTTGTGAAAGTTCCAGAAGTGCCAGTGGTACTGCTGAATCTACAGAGGGCAAAGACAAAATCCTGGAGCTGAGTGAGTTAAGTGTGTTTTCTCACCATCAGTGGTTATCGGTGTACTGCAGAAGGCTTATCTAGCTTCCACGTGTGTTGGCTGCTTGCCCGGGCTGTTGGCAGGTTGCCCAGAAGTCCATCTGCACCTGCTGTCATTGACTCAGAGCAAAATTAACATGGAAACAGCCATTAGATTTCAGAGGCTGAATGATTCAAACTATGCCTCTTGGAAAATCTACATGCAAGCTTTACTGATAAAACAGGATTTGTGGGACATTGTGCAAAACCAGCCAGACCCTATAGATGTCCGTCAGATTGAAGATGATTGCAAGGCAAGGAAATGATTGTTCTAGCCATAGACGAAACCCAGCCTAAAATAGTGCTCCTTCCACAAATCACTGAAGGTGCACTGCAAAAGGCTGCCGGCGCACCTTCTGTGACTCTTCCGCTGCAGCGTGTGTGGACGCTGCAGCGGAAAGGCATCGTCGGAGCGCTGGCCATGCAGAGGACCAGCTGCTCTGACAACATCTTTGGGAAGGGGTTGGGGAGCCCAGCATGTGGCTGCCCCTCCCCTTCCTTGCCCTGAAGACGGCACTTTGCGCCATCTGCTTAGCCCCTAAGTTAAGAGAATGGGGGGAAACAGGTTTACCCTGCTCATAGTGGACCAACACACCTGGTATTCTTATGGGGCCTTGTTAAAAACCAAAGGTGAAGCTGCTGACCAGGTCAAAAAGTGGATAAATGCCACTACAAGGTGGGCACTTTTGTGACCAACAGGGGTGGAGAGTTTCTTGTTGAGGGTCTGCAGTAATGGTTTAGGCAGAAGGGAATACAGCATAAAACCACCAACACACCTTGCCCAGCCAATGATGGTTTGGCTGAGAGGAGAATTGGCATTATCAATCAAATGAGGGATTGCATGCTGGAAGATGCTGAGGCACCACCAGATTTGTGGGCAGAAGCCACAAAGGTTGCATGCCATACCATCAACAGGATGTGGTGCAGCACAATCCAGCAAACACCATACTTCCTGTTGCATGGTAGAGCACCCAATCTGAAGTACTTGAGGGTTTTTTGGCCAATTTGCCTCAGTACTGATTCCTCCACAGTTCCGCAGAAAGAACGAACCAAAGAGCCAGAAGTTAAGGTTTGTGGTCTATGAGGGGAATTGCTACAGATTCCTATTGGATGGTGGCAGAGTCTGTACTGAAGGAATGCAAGATTTGAAACACATGTTGGATGGGAGAAGATCCACACCAACCATAATGTTTTTGTAAAGTTGAGAAACACTGGTACAAACATCAGAAATGGAGGGGTGGAGCAGACTCTTCACAGAAAACCAGCTTCTGGGTGTTCCTGCCTACTTGGATCTTCTCTGCATGTGTGTATGCTAGATCACACTGTCTGCATACCCCAACATAAATAGCATCTCCTGGCCCAACACCACAATCCTGATTTACTTGGTAGCAGCCACTGTGAGTGATGGGGAAGTCTGTTGTCTTGTTGATAGGGATGGAGTAGACTATTATTCCCACCTCCCTCCCATGAGCAATCTCTGGTACAAGGAGGAATTGTGACAGGGATTCTGCTTCTGGCTGTCACAATCTCTGGCAGAAGGAGGTGAGAATGTCAGTCTACTGCATTCCAGTCAATAGGAGAACAGACATATACACCCCATCACTTACAGTGGCTGCTGCCTCGT